GATTTAGATACTGCGAGGACGATGCCCTAGCTTGGATATAGCAAAGGTCACCGATTCGAATCCGAGACTGTTAACTTTTTTTTTTTTTTTTTTTTTTTTTTTTAATGGATGGTATCTAGCCATAGCCACACCGTCACTGTAACTCGGAGTTGATTTCCTTTCCCCTCCTGATGAGGGAAGTCAGACCTATCATCATCCGCTTAGCGGCGATGGTTCACACACCATAGTTTGGCGATGGTGGTTTGCTCTTGGAGTTTGCAATGGTTAATCTTCTGAGCTATTAATTCCGAGTACACACAATCTGGTGTTTTGCTTCCGCAACGCGCCTGTGTGCTGCGAACCGCTGATCCAGCGCTGCTGAGTTGGCTTCGAGTTCGATTATTTCCTATCCTACTGTAAGCTCTCGGTCTGGCTATGGCTAGATACCATCCATTTAACAAAAAAAATGTTAACTTTTTTTTTTTAATGGATGGTATCTAGCCATAGCCACACCGTCACTGTAAGCTCTTGGTCTGGCTATGGCTAGATACCATCCATTTAAAAAAAAAAAAAAAAAAAAAAAAAAGTTCAGATACTAAGAGGGTGATGCCATAGCTAAGGCTATGGCAGAGGTTGTCGGTTTAGCAATGAGCCTTAGCTATGGCATCACCCTCTTAGTATCGCCGAACTAGCCTTAGCTATGGCATCACCCTCTTAGTATCGCCGAACTAGCCTTAGCTATGGCATCACCCTCTTAGTATCGCCTTAGCTATGGCATCACCCTCTTAGTAGCTAACCCATGCTCTGCAGACACCCTGACACACAGCTCACTGAAACATCGCCAAAAAACTCACAAACGGAAAAAAATAAAAATAAAAATAAAAAGAGAGGAAGACTGAATGAGCAAGATTCAGTATGCATGAAGAAGAAAACCACTCCTATGTTTATTATTATTATTATACAAAAAATTCCTGATTGATCAAATCAGAAACTTTAAGATGAAGAGAATTTAGAGGAGAAAGGTTTTCACTTTCCTGTTTGGGGAAATTTCTTTTCTAAATGTGTATATGAAGGGTTTTTTACCTTTTTTTACTTTCCAGTTCAGGCAAAAACGTTTTCCTCCTCCTTACCTCAGCTACGCGTGTCAGAGTTGTGGATACATCCCCCCTACCCGGCCCCCAGATCAAAGCTGTCTGTACCTGGTCTCTTCTTTTTTTTTTTCCATTTTGTTTTTTGTACCTGGTCTCCTATTCTAACTGATACATTGGGAAGCTGTCTGTACCTGGTCTCTCCTTTTCTTTCTCGTTTACCTGGTCTCCTATTTTAACTGATACACTGAAAAGATGTCTGTACCTGGTCTCCTATTTTAACCGATACATTGACATTAGTCTGTTACCAAATGTACCTGGTCTCCTTTTTTAACTGATGCCTTGAAATGGGTCTGTTACCAACTGGTCTCTTTTTTTTTTTCTTTTTTTTTTTGTACCTGGTCTCTTATTTTCACTGATACATTGAAATGGGTCGGCTACAACCAATTCGCCTCTCCCAGCTGGGATCTGTATTTCAACAGTTGGGGGGTGTCCCCCAGCTGGGAGAGGCGAGTTGGTTGTAGCCGACCCAGTTCAATGTATCAGTGAAAATAGGAGACCAGGTACAGTTATGGCCCCTGCGCAAGGATGACACGCATAAATCGAGAAATGGTCCAAATTAAAAAAAAAAAAAAAAAAAAAAGGAGACCAGGTACAGTTGGTAACAGACCCATTTCAATGTATCAGTTAAAAAAGGAGACCAGGTACATTTGATAACAGACTAATTTCGATGTATCAGTTAAAATAGGAGACCAATTGGAACCCCGCTAAAACCATGTGAGTAAAAATACTAAAAAAAGTAAAAAATATTACAGAATCCTGAATTACCTAGAGCCGGTCAATTCAATGATGATATCTCAAGGTCGTCGCCC